CTCCACAATTACCTCTCTGGTTCAAGTTGCCATCATTAACCCTAATAGCCTCTTAATTCGTTTCACTGCTTCCATCTTTGTCCAACCTTAATCCTATTATCTACACAGCATCTAGGGGGATCCTGTTAACATAGAAGTGACTCCTTTACTTAAAATCTTCCAAAGGCTCATCATCTGACTCAGGGTAAAAGCCTAAATTCTTACTAATACCTATGTGATCCAGACCTTGTTACATCTATGCTTTCATCTCATGCGTGCACACATGCGTGCACATACACACATAAACACACACACACACACACACACACACACACAGAAACACTCACTCTGCTTCAGCCATACTGGTCCTTTTCTTGTTCCTTGAACTTGTCAGTACGCTCATGTCTCAAGGCCTTTCCACTGACTGCCCCCTCTTCCTGAAACACTCTTCCTGCAGTTACCTCTGAGGGCTCACTTCTTACCTCCTTCAGGATTTTGCTCAATGGCATCTTCCCAGAGCTGAAAGTAACAAGAGTTCACTCAGATTCTTACATCTGCCATAAACATGCAATCAGGGGAAGGTTTGGGTGAAAAAAATAAACGGAACTTCTGTGACACTTGTCTCGGCCCGAAGGTAACTGTCTCTAGAACAAGACCTTGCAGCTATAAAAAGAGGCACTGGCCTTGTCAGCCATCAGATAGAAGGCATCTCTCCTCATGGGATTCGCCTCTGCTTCTGCCCTAGAGCAGGAAAGGTGCAAGCTGTTTATTGTGCCTTCACAGGGTGCTTGCTTAAGAAGATGCCGAGCAGAGACAGAGACATTTGCTTTCAAACCTGGGGGCAAATTTTAAGAATAAAGTGCCTTCTGGTGCCAAGCACAGGCATGTCTGAGAAGTGCAGTAGATAAAATGCATGTGGATTTGCTGATAGATTCTGAACACACTGTTTTACAAGGAAGTAAAATATTACAATTTCACATGTTATAATACCTCAGTTAGCAGGAAAACATAGATTTTTACTGATAATTTATTTAACTGCATGGACCCTCCAAACACAAAAAGAACTAGAAAGAAAGAAAAGATTTTTTGCAATTGGAATTGATATCATAGAGTCTATGTACCAAAGCTCACGTACATTAGTTGAAGTAGACTCCCCACAGGCCTACTCATGGTCTATTATAATTTTCACACAGTTTGAACAAGCTTGTTTATCTTGTTTCCTAGTTCGTAACACTCAAAAGGGCAACAGAGGAGGGGGCATGGAGAATTGGGCAATAAAACTGGCTGGTAGAAACAGGTAAATTAACAGCAGCAAAAAATAACAGCTACTAGAGAGGGAATCTATGGAAATGTTAAGACAAAAAAATTCAGGCACTGGAAATTAAAAAGTAGAACAATCTGTGCCCATTTAGTAGTATAGGAACAAACAGCTCTCCACAGTTTAGAAGCCCCGAGGCAGCACTGAATTCGGCACATTGAAATATCTAATGCCATTATAAGGACAATCTTAATGCATCAAGAAAGGATGCAATTGTTTCCAAGTTCAGGAGTCAGGAAGGTAAATAGTATTTTTGCAAAGCTTTTTATCCAAAATGGATAAAGATTTCAAGGGGGAAAAATAATCAGGCACTAAAAGTGCTGAACCTCAGTTACCCAGAAAAATCAGTTACGTGGAACACTCACAGTATAGTGTGGCCTAATAGATGACCCATCATCATTGAAATACATCTTCATACCATACTGGAATGCACATTGAATCAATTTTGTTGTGATTTACATATCTCCCTGAGCTATACTCTGATGAGTAAAATTTGCAGTGAACAGGTTTTCACAACTGCTTATGTAAGTTACCTGAGATTATATTATCAGTATAGCTTACATTCTTTCCTCCTGTGATGACTATAAAACATTTCTATTTTTCACTTTTTTCATCATCAGGTAAAGAAATGTGTGAGGGAAAATATAAAGAACAAGTCTGAAAGGTAATTTTATAATAAATATGTGCCTGCTTCTGTACTAGACTTGCTGAGTTATCAATACAACCCATAGAGAAGTAGATTTAAGGAAAGAACTTTAGTGCTATGAGATGTTTAAGGAACCCTATAGATGAGAGTAAGAAATAACATTTACTTCTCCCCAGCTCCAGACCTGTTTGTCAGCTCTACCTGAATGTTCCACAGAAACCACATACCCAAAATTAACAATCAAACTATGTCTTCCTCTTCCATTCCCTGTGTTCATGGTATTTCTTTCCATTCAGTCACCCTAACCAGAAACCTGAAATTAACCTAGTCTCCTTCCTGTCCTTCAAACAGCACGACTAGTCACCAAATCAAATCAATTATACCTTCTCGATTCCTCTCAGGCCTCTCCCCTTCTCCCCATCCCCTGTTGTGACAGTGCATGCCTCTAACTACTCATACCCAGCTTACTTCAGCTGTTCTAACTAGTCACTTTATCTCCAGTTTTCTTCCTCTCCACTGCATAAATCACACACTGAATCCTCCACACAACAGCTTGAGTGATCTTAGTGAAAGCAAGAAGTTCCACAATTCATAGCTGCTGTTGATCCCTGTGCATACTGTGCACTCTAGAGCCCTAGTGAGGGCATCATTCCCGATGTGGTCTGTGTCAGTGGAGACCCTAGCGGTTTGGTGGTGCACAACCTGTACAACCATATGCAGCAGCCTTCTCTATTGTGCTGCTTATAACACTCCAACGGCTCCCCATTGCTCTGGAAATAAAGTAAAACCATTCAATATGCTTTATAAGGCACTGCCTGATGAAGCCCCTGCCTCCCTCTCCAAATTTCTTTCTGTCCTTTACCTCGCATATTTTACACTCCAATCATTTAAAATGTATTTACAATTTCCCAAACCTACTCTGCTCTCCTCTTTCTGCTTGTCTTTGCACATCTTATTTCCTTGCCTGGAATACCATTCACCCCACCTATCCCTACCACATTCAATCCCCATCTGCAGTCTACCCGGACATTTGTATGCATCTCTCAAAATTCAACTCATGCACACTCTCTCCAAGTCTTCCCCTAACTCCCTAAGTGAAGCCAATCATTTACTCTTCTGGCTGCCCCAGGGCAGATTCTACACACACATGTAATTAGTTTATTACACTGTAGCATAATTTCTGGGCTTGAGCAATCCATAAATGGTCATTGTTGACATGATTGTTCAGGAAGTTATTAACCACAGTGAAAAGCTTTGTAAATGTATTTTATTATATAAATAACTTCCAAGTATATGAAATCCATTTTACATTTAAAATTTTTGTACTGTAGTGTGTACTCTAATCACATGGCTACAAATTCCTTCCAGGGCAAATGCTTAACAGGTACAAAAGTACTGCAAGCCCAGGTAAAAAACACAGCACAGCAACTGGTGTCATTTAGGTGTTATGACGTATTGTGATGCCACAGGAATGGGGGCTTGTCAACATGTAGGAGCCTTCAACAGTATGAACCGATGAAACATCACACAACTCTAGAAAGAAGAGCAATCACTAGCAGTAGAAATGTCAACTTACATTTCATAGCATAACTAATTTATCCCTTGTGATTAAGCATGCATTCCTCCAAAGAAGATTTTTTTTTTTTTTTAGCTCCCAGGACGATGCAGAAGGTAAATGAGAACAAAACACAAAGTACTTTTCACTGTACTGCATGGAATGTTTCAATGAGATTTTTTTTGTAGTCTCCAAAAACTATTTAAATTGCTCTTAAGACCTGAAGGAGTCTGTGCCGCATCACCACATTCCCCTTAATGATTTATTACATATAGAAAATAATACTGACCAACTCAAAACAAAACAAGCAAGACCAAAGAGTTCTGCGTTATGAAGATGCATAGATCACGGCCTTGAATTAATTCCACTGGCCTAACTGAAGATGTTTGCATGGTCTCCTTTAGATTTGTGGATAGCACTAAATAAGGAGGTATATTTGGAACATGTGTTGTGGCTATCTGATTTGTGGAAAATTGCCACCAAGTCTATTTTTTGAATACCAAAACTTCCACTGCAAGGCTTAGAACCTAGTAAGTCAAAACTACCTTGGGAGCACAGGAAGGCACGCACATCAATTGCAGCACCTTGTAGACTTGTCTGAAAAGCGCTGGCTGAACTTCAGGTCCCAGAGTTGCACTCTGTTCTGAGGCTGCCCCAGTGCCACAGTCAGAATGGCCCCATAGGAACGCAGCCCCACAGCCTGCAGCACCCTCCCTGTTACATCAACCCCAAGGCTCGGCAACTTCAGCTTGCTAAATGTGAGTGTAGCATGACTAGCAAGTGATCAAGTCCATGTTACACCATTCGCTCCCCTTAATCAAACTATGGCAGTGGCAGTAAAGACTTTGTGAGTTACTTGACTTTGTTTTCGTTTGTCCAAGAGCTTCTGCCTTTGTAGGGAAGCAAGAAGCTCGTGGACCAAGATGAAAAGAAAGATGCGCTTGTCTGGGTGAAAAGCCCAAGTCAGTGGCAGCAGCTGTTTCCCTACAACTCCTCCTCCACCTGCCCTGCTGCAGCCCTGCTGCTGGTTCCAGTGCCTGAGTGCCTTTTTGACTTGATTTCCTCCACATGCCTTATGGGAAAAACAAAAACAAACAAAAATTGCTTTTTCAACTTCAGGGAATATTACAAGGGAAGTGTACTCCTTAGGGAGGTTGGGTTCTCACTGAAGTGGATGAGAAGAGGGTAAGAGACCTGAACCAGCAATGGCAGAAACATTCTTATACCGCTTCCTGCAGTTTCCCACGGTCCTCCTGCGGTGCCCAAGCGGACCAGAGCTGCACGCCTGCAGAGCGGCAGCTGGCCAGAGGAAAAGAGAACGGATGACCCAGCGAGTTCGCAGCTGGGAGCGCCACTGCAGTAGGAAAGTGTGTGTGCGCGTGTGGGGAGTGTGGACTGGAAACTAGTGTGCTGGCCTGGGGAGGCAGTGGATGAGGAGAAGGGCCAGTGAGCTAGGTTGGAACCCGAGGCCGCCGGGGAGGAGATGCGAGAAGGGGACTTACCTGCCACGAAGACTGCTTGCAGGAGGCAGAGGTCGTTCTTCCCGTACTTCTCGGCAATCCTCACGCGCTGCAGGGCCATGGCCATGTCCACCTGCAGAGGGATCGCCTGAGCTATCGGCATCAAAGTGCAGCCACCTGGGTTCTGGGGCAGGCCCGGGACCCGGGACGAGGGAGTCCACGGCGCCGAAGCGGCAGCTTGGGGCATGTGCCTGGCCGCCCGCCGTGGTGAACCCAGGTGGGGCCGGGGCTCTGCTGCTGCCATCTTCACGCTGGAGTCCCGGGCAGGGCCGCTACCCCAGCCAGTAGCTGCCCAGCTCGGATCTGCGCGCCGCCGCTGCGCGCTCAGGCACTGCCGGAGGGGTGCAGCCCCTGGCCCCTCTCAGCCCAGCCGCGTCGCGGCCGCCCGCCCTCCGGACCCCTCCAAGTAGGGATAGAGGCGTAGAGGCCTGAGAGCTCCGCGCGAGCAGTCTGAGAACTTGTTATGAGTTTGGGGCTCCAGTGGAGCGCTCTGGCCACCACCGCTGCGAGGGCAACTCTTCCTGGGTGCGCGCACTCACGCCCTCGCTTAGCCACCAGAGGATGAAAGGAGGCGAGGGGACTCCGAGGAGGGACGCAAGGATCCAAAAGGGAGAATTTCTGCAGAGATGCCTATTTTCAAGGGATGAAAGGCCAGCTTAGGCTAGCACGCGGTGGGAGGAAATGGCACAGCCTCGCACTCCCATGGCAACTCACGCAAGACTTGGCGGCACAAGGGAGTTGCTGGATGCGAGCACATGAAGGTGGCCCTGTCAAAGCTGCTGTCTTTGCCCCAAGAGAATATGAGCCCTGAATAGGCTGAAAGGCCCTGTGCTGAGCCGAAATATGTCCTCCGCCAATGCAAACGAACACACAGATATATTCTGATCTCAGTCCTTGGATATGTCAAGTCTCACGCCCTCCAGGTCCCAAATTTTCAAATGCCAACGCCCTGTATAGACATCTGAGCTGCCATCTGCCATGGGTATGAGAGACTTGACACACTTTAGAAAGGACATGAGAAAAAGGAAAGGCAAGAGGAGGCAATGCCTTTTTTTTTTTTCTTTTTTCTGTATTTTAAGTCCTGGGGTACATGTGCAGATCTTGCAGGATTGTTGCATAGGTACACATATGCCATGGTGGTTGCTGTCTCCATCCCCCCGTCACCTACCTCAGCCATTTCTGCCAGTGTTATCCCTCCCAAGGACTTCATGACTAAAACATCAAAAGCAATGGCAACAAAAGCCAAAATAGACAAATGAGATCTAATTAAACTTAAGAGCTTCTGGACAGCAAAAGAAATAATCATTAGAGTGAACCGGCAACCAACAGAATGGGAAAAAAATTTTGCAATCTACTCATCAGACAAAGGGCTATTATCCACAATCTATAAAGAACTAAAGCAGATTTACAAGAAAAAAAAAAAAAAAACCATTCAAAAGTGGGCAAAGGATATGAACAGACAGTTTTCAAAAGAAGACATTTATGAGGCCAACAAACATATGAAAAAATGCTCATCATCACTGGTCATTAGAGAAATGCAAATCAAAACTACATTGACATACCATCTCACGGCAGTTAGAATGGCGATCATTAAAAAATCTGGAGACAACAGATGCTGGAGAGGATGTGGAGAAACAGGAACACTTTTACACTGTTGGTGGGAGTGTAAACTAGTTCAACCATTGGTGGAAGACAATTTGGCACTTCCTCAGGGTCCTAGAAATAGAAATTCCATTTGACCCAGCAATCCCATTACTGGGTATATACCCAAAGGACTATAAATCATTCTATTATAAAGACACATGCACACGTATGTTCATGGCAGCACTGTTCACAATAGCAAAGACTTGGAACCAACCCAAATGCCTATCAATGATAGACTGGATAAAGAAAATGTGGCACATATACACCATGGAATACTATGCAGCCATAAAAATGATGAGTTCATGTCCTTTGTAGGGACATGGATGAATCTGTAAACCATCATTCTCAGCAAACTGACACAAGAACAGAAAACCAAACACTGTATGTTCTCAGTCATAGGCAGGTGTTGAAGAGTAAGAACACATGGGCACAGGGAGAGGAACATCACACACAGGGATATGTTGGGGGGCAGGGGGTCAGGGTGGGTGGGCAAAGAGGTTGGGAAGGCAAAGCTTTTAAGAAGCCAAATGGAAAACAAAGGAGCTAGAGCTCCTTCCTGGCCCTGAATCCAAAGCCCTCAGGGACTGGGCGGAGGGAAGATGTTGCTCCGCAGTGCCTGGAAGGAAAGGAGTATGCAGGACCGGAGGGAGCCAGGCCTGTGACGCAGTAGCTGGCTGAGGAGAGGCCAGGGGTGTTAGCATTTAAAAAGTATGTGTCTGAGTCCCAGCTAATGCCATAGGAATTCGCCCCAATTTTGCTCTAATGCTTAGAAGTTCTGATGGGAATTGCAAATGCCACATGCCACTTTTTTCATTAATACTTATCCTTTTCAAAATTTTCTGGCAGGAGAGTGGACTGATATTATACAGGCCAGTCATTCCAATTAGAATCACCAATTTATACTGGAGGAAAGTGGGGGTGGGGCACGGATAGGCAAGTGCAAAAGGCAGAGTGAGTAGGGGAGGAACACACACACACGTCCCCACTACACGCACACACCTCTTCCCCTAGCCTTGCTTTTCCAAATCCTGGTAGTTGATTTCTATATTTTATGTGAATGTGTTAAGTCAACCAGGCAAAATGTTTGCCAGCCTCTCTCTGGAATATGCGCAGAGGATAGAGGAGCAACCACTTAAAATATCCCCACTACTATGGATAGGATGACATTAAGAATTCTACAATGTGGTGGTTGTTGTAAAATAAGTTAAGAATAAATAAGACACAAATGAGTGGCAGTCTATAAAAGTACTAAATAACAACCTAGGGAAGACATTTTTATAATCTTACAATGAGAAAGACTTTCCATAGCATAATTAAAAAATATGAGATCGATTTATATATAAACAGAAGCCCTGCTCTATTTATCAAGTGTAAAAAAGCAAGGTGCAAAACAATATTTGTAGTTTGATCTCCCCCTTTTTTTTTTGTCATGGAATGTCACTCTGCTTCCCAGGCTGAAGTGCAGTGGCGTGATCTCGGCTCACTGCAACCTCCACCGCCTGGGTTCAAACAATTCTCCTGCCTCAGCCTCCCAAGTGGCTGGGACTACAGGCACACACCACCACACCCGGGTAATAGTTTTTTATTATTATTTTTAGTAGAGATGGGGTTTTACCATGGTGGCCAGGCTGGTCTCGAACTCCTAACCTCAGGTGACCTGCCTGCCTCAGCCTCCCAAAGTGCTGGGATTACAGGCATGGGCCACTGCGCCTGGCCTGATCCCTTATTTTAAACACTATACAGGCATATGGGCATAGAAAATAATTGGGAAACACTGCTAACAGTGTTGATCTCTGTAAAGTGAAATTGGAAAGCACTTGGTTATGGGGGAAATCTCATATTTTTTGTAATTATGTTAAACTTTTTACCGTGACCAATTGTTATTTTTGTAACTCCATTTTTTTTTTAAAAAAGAAGGAAATAAATGGAAAAATAACTTGAGGTTTAGAAAACTATTAGAAACTTAACAATATAAAAGAATATTTTCTAAGTATGTAAAAAATATAAAAATCAAAGAGGAAAAATTTTGAACGTCTGTATAATTAAAAACATAAACAAAAATCAAATCACAAATGGGAGTTTATTTACAAAGAAATAAGGTAACCAAATAAATAAATAAATAAATAATATCCTTCAAGGGGTCAGGAATAGCCAAAACAATCTTGAAAAAAAACAGAGGACTCATATGTCCTGATCTCAAACCTTACTACAAAGCTACAATAATCAAATCAATGTGATACTAATATAAGAATAGACTTATAGATCAATAGAATAGAATTGCAAGTCCAGAGAAAACCCTTGAATCTAAGGTAGATTATTTTTGCCATGGTGCCAAGACAATTCAATGGAGAAAAAATAGTCTTTTCAACAAATTGTGAACCTTAAAATGTACATAGCCCTTGACTTGAGGATCTCTCCTACAGAAATAATCAGAGATTTTTTGACAAAGGTTTATATGCAAAACATTATTAATTATAGCCCCAAATTGGAAGCAACCCATGTCAAACAATAGCAGGATAATAAATTCTGATATATCCATAAATGGATACCCATAAATCCATTATCCATAATGGATTTTTATTTGTAAATCCATGAAATGGATAAAACATATCAGTTATTAAAAATGGCACTCCTTGTAGTGATGGAACTGTTCTGTGTCTTGATTCTATCAATGCCAATATTTTGCTTGTGATATTGTACTATAGTTTTGCAAGATTTTACCATTGGGGGAAACTTGGTAAAAGGTATACAGGATCTCTCTGCATTATTATTTTATTTTTTCTTGAGATGGAGTCTTGCTCTGTCACCCAGGCTGGAGTGCAGTGGCAGGATCTCGGCTCACTGCAGCCTCTGCCTCCTGAGTTCAAGCAATTCTGCTGCCTCAGCCCCTGAGTAGCTGGGAGTACAGGCAGGCACCACCATGCCAGCTAATTTTTGTATTTTTAGAAGAGATGGGGTCTTGCCATGTTGGCAAAGCTGGTCTTGAACTCCTGACCTAAGGTGATCCACCTGCCTTGCCCTCCCAAAGTGCTGGGATTACAGCGTCAGCCATTGCGCCTGGCCTCTATGTATTATTTCTTACAGTTGCTTATGAATCTAGAATTATCTTTAAAAGTCTAATTTTTAAAATGAAATTATTGAAGGATTTTTAAGAACATGAGAAAATGATTATGACCTTATACTGATTTACTTATCTACATGTAAGATGAATATGCAGTATAATTTCAACTACATGCCATCTATAAGCATTGAAAGAATGCTGGAAAAAACATTGAGTGTATGGATAGATGATAGCCAAATATGAGAGAGGGAGAGAAAGCCTGAGCTCATGTGAGCTCCTTCTGTGTCATGCATAAAATTATGAATTATGCAGTCATTGTAAATAATTACCTCTTCTCTGGAGCTTTGCTAGACTCCCTGAACCAAACACCTTATGTCATGCCCATTGATCCTACCTTTCTCGTACTGATTATCATGTGTTGCAATTGTTTGCAGATCTATCATTCAGAAATATTCCGAGGCCCTTGATGTCAGTAGAAATGT